CTGGCTCTGCATTAACTGGGACATAACTTGTTTCTCTTCTCTAATCCTCAGTTTCCTCACCTGCAAAATGAAAATAATAATCCTGTGATACTATGGGAATAATGAACATTTTTTGTAAATGATTGGGGGTACATAGATGAAGGTCACAGTCCCTCATTTCTACCATCTCCACACCTTGTGCCTCAAACCTAGGGCTAAACCACCTCAGTCGTGAGTGATAGGCTAGGAAAAAGAAGAGGAGTTCACAGTTAATATGTGCTTATTTGCATGGGACTTGCACTGTTTTCATAGACTCAATGTCAGAGCTGGATGGCAATTATTGGCTGATCTTCTTGCTAGTAACTTTTTCTCCCTGGGGCAGTACTGGTGTATAGTAGTTGTTGCAAAATATTTATTGACAGAATGAATGCATACTTCATGTGAAGAAAAGGATTTACCCAAGTTTATACCATGCTTTCCTTCCACTAGGCCATTCTACTTCATGGAATTCCTTATGTTTTTTTTCCAAAATGATAAATCAGTGGAGAACCCATTCCTCTCTTCTAGCACTCTCTGGTCTATTGGCAATGACCATTCTGGACTAGCCTAGCCAGGAAAAACACCCATTGGGATGCCCACTCTGTATCTAGCTTGGTGCTGCCAATCCTTTAACTTTAGTTTCCAGTAGCCCCTGAACTGCAGCTGCTACAGGGGCAACTTCCTCCCAGAGGAAAAGGAGACCCCAGTCAGCTTCCTCTGAGCATATTTTTCTTTTTGCTTTCTGGGTGAGAAAGAGTATGAGACACAGTTCTTGGGCAGCTGCAGGCTAGAAGGAAGGGCGGCGGCAGCCATTTCCGACCCTGCTAAGGCATCTCCCTCCCTGGCTAGTCCCTCCCTTATTTCCTGAGTTCTGCTATTTCAGCCCCAGTCAGAACAGTAATAAGAAAAGCTTCCAAAGATTAACTTGAATCACAGAATCTTGGAGCTTGAAAGGATTTTAGTTATCATTTATTTCCCCCCACCTCTCTTTTGAGGGAATGCCTGCTTAGCCAACAGGGAGACATCTCACCTAACTTCATAGTTTCAAGTTTCCCCCTCTATGAAATGGACAGGATGACATCTAGCTGACAGTGTTACTGTGGGATGAGATTCCAGAATGGATTCAACAAAAGTTAATGTGTACTGAGAACTAGTTATATGCTTGCTATTGTTCTAAGTGTTTTCCAAATTTTAACCTATTGAATTCTTTTTTTTAACTTTTTTTTAGAGGTTTTTGCCTTCAGGCAAGTGTGCTCACCAGAGAGAGACAGAGACAAAGACAGAAACAGTGAGAGGGAAAGTGAGAAATTACCCCTTGGAGGGGTGGCCATACTGCAATCTCTTCTCCTCCACTCTCCTCTGGGATCTTGGGCATGCATGCACATGTGCCTGGCATGATTTTCAAGTCACTGGGTCCAGGACTTGAACCATGGCCAGGTGGGAATTCAGCAACAACCATGATGCCATCTGCTGGCCTCAAACTATTGAATTCTTATTTTTTAAGTTTTTTTTAAATTTTATTTATTTATTCATTTATTTTAATTTGACGAGAGAGAGAGAGAGAGAGAGAGAGAGAGCAAGAAAGCAAGACACGATCCAGGATTCAAATCATGGTTGGCCATGTGAAAGAATCCAGTGCCTTAACCACCACCTGCTGGTTCCTCAACCTATTGAATTCTTATCACAACCATTGAAAGTAGATATATTATCATCATCATCATCATCTCCCCTGTTTTATAGATGTAGAAACAGAGGGATGACAAAGGTAATGTCATTTGCTAAGTTCACACAGCTTATAAGTGGCAATGGCAGAATTTGAACCTTGAACCTTCATTTTTATCCATATGATGGAGACTTCATAAAGTTCTTGAAAAAATGGCATTAAAGTATGAATTTATTTTGCTGCAAAAATTTTGAAATGCATGCATAGTTTATAATATGCCTTTATCATGATCTTTTTGAACACCCTTTATATGCTAATGGTGTTCACCCTTACACCAGAGAATATTGATGGATCATGAGGGTTCTGTTAACTCACATGTGGCTGTGTATCACTAAGGGCTGAGAAGGAAGAATGTGAAAAACAAAAACAAAAACAAAAATGGAGTGTCTGAATATGTAACCTGAAGTTTCTGCTCCATGCAGAGAAATGTCTTTGGAGTTCTGATCTTATGTTAACCATCCACTTGAATTTTCCAGTTAACTTCAGTGTAGAGTATATCCCTGTTGTTTTCATACAAAAAAAAAATTTTTTTAAAGATGCTTTTCTTCTTTAAGCCTTTGAAGAAAGTTAACATCCCAGGAAAATGAGCCACATTAGTTCTGTGAATTCATATGCCTCTAGGTCATTGCCTGTAGCCAACGGGTGTTAGACATCTGCTATGCATTAAGGCCCTTAGTCATTGAGAATAGCTAATGCTACATAAACCCTTTCTACATATGATTTAATCATCACAACAACTCTATGGGGAGATTGAGTTATTATCTACTACCCCATTTTCAAATGGGAAAATTGTAGCACAGAAAGGTTAAGTGATTTGCCCAAGGTCACACAGTCTGGGATGTCAGCCTTGGTTAGTAATCACTATAAAAATTGCCTCTCAGGTCACATTATAGCTTCTCTTTCCTACCTACCTCCACCACTTCCCATCAGAACTATTGGTTTGATTCCTGGCAGAAGCAATTGGATGGAGGCCCTCAAGGGCTGAGATGTGTTTTTCTCCATCCCCACCTTTACCCAAACTGATGCTAAGCTGGGACCTGGGCTGTGCACAGGACTAGTTCCTCCATTCACATTTGCCAACTGTTTCCTAGCTACTAACAGTCTCTTGGGCCTAGCACACATTGAGTTGATGGGTATACCACTAGCATTTCACGCAAGAGCAAAGATCTGAACCTTTAAGAAATGGCTACCCATCACCTACACGGGCAGACCCACACTTCTAAGATTGGCATTCAAAATGCTGCCCAAGTTCACCCAGCCAACTCAGCCAACATTCCTGGAGCACATATACTTGGTTAACCCTGCAAATGTGTTCCATGTGCTCTTCTCTCTCACAAGAATGATCATCCACATTTCCTTTTTAATTTCACACTTATATGGCACTTCCAATGTGCCTGGCACTTTCAATGTGCTTGGCACTATCCTAAGCCCATTGGATATTTTAACTCATAAATACCTTACAGAAACCCTACAGGTACCATTATTTGTGTATGTGTGTGTTGTTGCTTTAGACAGTGTTTCACTGTGCCTGGATCATCCTGCCTCAGCCTTCCAAGTGGTTAGGACTATAGGTACTTGCCCAGATTTTTAGGTTGGGCTGGTAATTTAATTCAAGCCTCCCATATAGTTTCAGCCTGCCAAGCAGCAGAGTCCAGCATGTGTTGGACATTATCACATTTTACAGATGAGGAAACTGAGGTACAAAAATGTTAAGTTACTTGCCCTTTCTCCTATACCTGGCAAAGCCTTACATATCCTTTCCGTATCTCCTATGAATAGCATAAGCCATTGCCTTTCTAGGTGATTCCACAGGTCAATTACATCAGTCATCATTGTGCATAGAGTTTAGTTATCTATAAGAGTTTGTTAATGCTGTCCAATGAAAGTTTGAATTCTCTGTGGGCAGGGTCTGTGTTTCATTATTTACGACATATGTAAGGGAGGGGCAGAGCACAGAGCTATACTTAGGGGTTATTTGTAAAATGACTGAATTAATAGTGAGTGAGTGGTAAGTGACTACCTCAGAATCAGACTTGACCAAACTAAACGGTGGCTGAGAGATGCGAGGTTACTGTCACCCCTGTCACTGGGATGGAGGAATGTATAAATTACTCAATAACCAAGCATGGAATGAAACCACAGGTGGTGAGAGGGGAAGAGAGAGAAGCTCCCCTACATCATCTTGCCATTCATGTGGCATACCAAACCCAACACTCTAACCACAATCATTCAGGCTGACAGGGCATCTAGGTATCTACAAAAGGTATCTAAGCAGCTACGGGAACTCCTCTGGCAAACTGGTTTCTGTTTTCCCTTCCAAGGCCCCATAACTGCTTCTGTAATTCAAATGTTCATATGGAAAAGAACAAAGGGCTTAAATGTCACCCAGGAAGTAAGGGTTTGTTGCTTTTGATCTCAAACTTTATGCTTTAATGAACTTGTTCTGTCCTTCCCTTGCTGGCCAAATGCACTTCACAGAGAAGTAAAGAGGAGTCTAGGCATAACTCTGATCTCAAGTCCTGACTCTGCTGTCACCCCTGTCACTGGGATGGAGGAATGTATAAATTACTCAATAACCAAGCATGGAATGAAACCACAGGTGGTGAGAGGGGAAGAGAGAGAAGCTCCCCTACATCATCTTGCCATTCATGTGGCATACCAAACCCAACACTCTAACCACAATCATTCAGGCTGACAGGGCATCTAGGTATCTACAAAAGGTATCTAAGCAGCTACGGGAACTCCTCTGGCAAACTGGTTTCTGTTTTCCCTTCCAAGGCCCCATAACTGCTTCTGTAATTCAAATGTTCATATGGAAAAGAACAAAGGGCTTAAATGTCACCCAGGAAGTAAGGGTTTGTTGCTTTTGATCTCAAACTTTATGCTTTAATGAACTTGTTCTGTCCTTCCCTTGCTGGCCAAATGCACTTCACAGAGAAGTAAAGAGGAGTCTAGGCATAACTCTGATCTCAAGTCCTGACTCTGCTCTTCATTAGCTGTGTAACCTTTGGCAAGTTACTGAACCTCAGTTTCTTTACCTAGGAAATGGAACTGTTGGGGTCAGATGGTGGCATAGCAGTAAAAGAAGTGGATCCACATGGAAAAGGTCCTACATTTTATCCTGGGACCTCCTTGAGCATGTCAGGTGCATGGCAGTGAACCTGTCATCTGGACCAGGGTGTGTACTCTGGTATGAAGATCCTGTGAGGTCTCTCTCTTTCTGAAGAAATAAATAAATAAATTTTAAAAAAGAAAATAGATCCTTTTGTGGTTCTTAAGTGTGGTGACTGGATGTCCATGCTGTTGTGTGAGATATGCCTCCCTTGAAATGATGTCAGCACAGTACCCATCTGATATAGAAAAAAAAAAAATAGAAGAAGAAGAAGAAAGAAGGAAAAAGAAAAATAAAGAGAAAAGTGGGTAAGAGGAGTAGGTGGGAGGGGCAAAGGGAAGAAACATATAACAAAATCAAGAATGTAAGATTCCTTATTGAAAATTATGTACATGGATGGGGCCAGCAGATGGCATACTAGTTACATTGCTGAATGCCCACATGGCTGACTCTGGTTCGAATCCCAGACTGAGTCCTGGACCTGGTGCCTTGAAAAATCCCACTGGGTCCATGTGTGTGCATACCCTAGATCCCAGGAGAATGGAGGAAAAGGGATTATGGTGTGGCCATATTTCCTTGGGGTTGATTTCTCACTTTCCCTCTCACCATCTCCACCTCTCCCTCTGGCAAGCACATGTGCCCTAAGGGAAAAGCCCTAAAATATTTTTAAAAATGACATACATGGTAATATCCTTGATTTGGTTGTCAGAAAGAAAGATGAGAAAGAGAAAGAAGGAAAGAAGAGAAGAAAGAAAAGAAAGAAAGAAAGAAGAGAGAAAGAAGAAAGCAAAAAGAAAGAGAAGAAAAAGGAAAAAGAAAAAATGAAAAAGGAAGAAGAGAAAGAAGAAAAAAGAAAGAGAAAAAGAAAGAGAGAGAAAGAAAAAGAAAGAGAAAGAAGGAAAAAGAAAAAGAAAGAAAGAAAGAAAGAGAACGAGAAAGGAAGAAAGAAAGACAGAAAGAAAAGAAAGACAGAAAGAAAGAAGAAAGAAAGAAAGAAAGAAAGAA